AAATTACTATCGATGAAATGGATAGTAATAGCCATAAAACTTTCATTGTTACGAGAAGTCTAACAATCGGTTGTCATACAGACACTTTGAGCTTCCTACTCAACCAACTCTTTCATTTGAACAACACATTTTCATATAAAGCTGGTATACATGTTTTGGATATAGAGTGTCAATCGTGAAGAATATATTTTGAGTTTAATAGCTTCACAAATTCTTTAAACCCTTCATCTTCTACTACTCTAAATGGTTGGTAGTCTTTTGTAAACAATTTTAAAAGGGCTCCATCAATTTTTTACTATCAACAGTCATTTTTTTAGGAACATAACCAATTATGCTAGTTTGCTTACGTTTACGTGCAACTTCAGTTGGTCTCAATATACAACTACTGGCTGATGAAGATACAGGTGCCATTGGCGATCCAGATGTAGAAGGTTGAGGCTCATGAGTTTCTGAGTAATCTGGATTGTCAATATTATCATGGTGGTGTTATATTCTTAAAAATATAAATATAAACATTGAGTTAAATTACTTTTTATACTTTTTTTATTTTATTATATTTATGATTGAAACTTACTTGATTTGACTCACTGGATTATTAGCTGGTGAACAGTTTATTAAGTGCTTGTTGGATAAATGTTTTTTGAGATTTGTGAGTGTGGATTTATAAGAGTATTTACGTTTACAAATATCACATTTTGCGTGAATTCCATCAATTATAGTAAAATGTTCCCAAACACTACTATATTGATTATCAATGTTAATATAACTAAATACTTTTTATTAATATGGATTTTACTAAAACAAAATGTGGTTACAGAGATGGACTTGTTCAGATCACATTTCAGAATACTTAAGAATAAAATAAAACAGACCAAATATGTCTTATCTGGTTTCAATAACAGACATGCAAGAACAAGAATACTTTTTTAGTTAAAAAGGTGTCAAAATTAAAACTTATAATTACATAAGAAATTATAATGACTATGAATAGAATCGTTTTAATTATTTGTGGGATTCATTGACATACAACAATGACTATTTTAGTTTCAGTTTATAGAAACTCATTTAATATTATATTAACAGATAATAATATGTAAAACTTTTATTGTTTATGCAATTTAATAGAAATAGTAAGACAATTGAACTTTTAAAGTTATTTGTGAATATTTACATGATTATCCATATTTTCAGTCAATATTACCATAGGAGAAGGAACAATAAAATAAATAAACAATTTTATTCATAATAAGTATGCTTTAATGTTCAATAATCAATACATAATAAATTAAATATATTGTATTCACATTTTAGGTAGAATTATTTTAGTATATATTTTCATAGCACATAATAATAATTGATAGTCTACTATTTTGCTGTAATATTTATGGGACAAAATTATTTGATTATTGTTTTATTTTTTAAATCAATTAATAAATATCCACATAAAAAAATTTTAAAAATTCTGAATTACTGAATTGCACATTGATTTAAATTTTTTGTTGTTATGTCTGAAGACATTTTTTCTAATAAAAATAATGCTCCAATTTTCAACATCGAAAAAGATCCCTGGTAGTAAATTATATCTAGTTTGTACTTTGAAAAGTTCAAAAGTACAAAATTCTCATTCTACTTAATAGATCCTCAAGAAAAACAAAAAAAAAATCACATCTCTACACTTTCATAATATCATAATAATAATTAATTGGTCATCATGGTCCATGATAACCATTTTTTTGAAAAAATAGTTACAATATTATTGAAATAATTTTTTATGTTTGGTTTTCGTGCTTAATCTTAAGGAAACCTGTTTAATTGAATACAAAGATTCATCATTGAATGTTCTCAATAAAAAGGTAAAATAGACACATACTGTACATTGTACAGCAAAGCAGACATGAACGGTATATGTCCGGGCGAACCGATTTGAAATCGTCGGGAACCGGCCGCAACATCCCAGCAAACATAGCACGTATAATCTACGTATATAATGAGTATAACTTTGGTGAATACATATACGTAGTTAATATTCGTATAATAACGGTATAATATACGTTAAAATGTATTTATTTTACGTTTAAAATACGTATACGAGTACTCGTATATTTTTCGTGAAAAATGCACGTTTAATTAACGTTGGTCATACGTTGATTGTCGGTTGGTCGAACTTACGTCGAAGCTTGGGTATAGTTATACATATATTTTACGTTTAAATTACGTATACGAGTACTCGTATATTTTTCGTGAAAAATGCACGTTTAATTAACGTTGGTCATACGTTGATTGTCGGTTGGTCGAACTTACGTCGAAGCTTGGGTATAGTTATACATATATTTTACGTTTAAATTACGTATACGAGTACTCGTATATTTTTCGTGAAAAATGCACGTTTAATTAACGTTGGTCATACGTTGATTGTCGGTTGGTCGAACTTACGTCGAAGCTTGGGTATAGTTATACATATATTTTACGTTTAAATTACGTATACGAGTACTCGTATATTTTTCGTGAAAAATGCACGTTTAATTAACGTTGGTCATACGTTGATTGACAGTTGGTCGAACTTACGTCGAAGCTTGGGTATAGTTATACATATATTTTACGTTTAAAATACGTATACGAGTACCTATTCCTATATTTTTCGTGAAATATCACGTTTATTTTCCTATAATAGGCGTACATGTATGGGGGAAAACCGATAAACATTAAACGTAAAATGTAAAACTGAACAGAGATAATATGAACCAATATACAATAATAAACGAATAACTAACGTTGACAAAGCGTTGAATAAACGCATGACAAAAATGAATAAACGTAGAAGGTGGTATCATATATTCTATAGAACAATTCAACAATTATATAGAAGCGACACTCGATCAGTTGCAGCTGATTGTGGTCTTGTTTGCCTATGATCTGAAGTCTGAACGAAAAATATGGAAACGAGCCCGCGGGCGCGCACCAATATGATGTTAGCCCCTTGGTTACCCGTATATGAAAACGTTTACCGCTACGTATATATATATAATATACATACATATAATATAATATAAGCAGGGTATAGAACTACAATATAATAATAAGTATTATTATTCATTATCATTATTATTCTCATGTTCTATGAAGGTGGGGGACCTTGAACGTTCTAGAATATTCAATACGTGTAAAAAACTAAAAATAGATGAGATATGAAACCCAACTGCAACGATACAGCGGTCGCGATTACGATGCAACTCGCTTATTGGTTAGAAATATACGCTAGTGTGTGTGTGTTCCGTGATCTCAACACTCTCGTTAACGCCTAAAACTGTTTTCCGTTGTCCGTTGAAACTTGAATGTTGGCATCATCAATTACGTTATTATTAATTAAAGTCGTCGTTTTTTTGTTGTGTTGTGACTACAATATACCTATAATTAATACAATTGTGGTTTATAAATTATAGATGGTCATCTCCATTTTTTTAGCTGAGCTGAGCTGTTAACTTAAGTATTATTATTATTCCCTATAGATACATTTTAAGCCCCGTCCAGACCAAAGAAAAATTTATCTGAAATTTCCGTTAACATGCGTTTTTCCGACATAACATTATGCATATAAATGTCGTCGACAATATTATATATTATGTTTCCGATTTCCCGTCATATGTTTCCGACAAATGTTTCTTAGTCTGGACCCGCTGGCTTTAGATTTGAATTCTAATATCCTGTTCCCAATCCAAAATATTTTACCTTTTAACTAAAGAGTTATTTAATATATTATATATTTATAAGTAATTAATAATCATTATAACCATTATATTATATACATGCATGGCCAATAATCCGAAATATTTAATTTATTAATATAATTATTAAGACATTATAGGTACATACTTACAAATTTATGTAAATTATATACATTTCTTAAGAGTAATGAGGAGAATGATAGTATTAATTTAACTATAAATTACATAGGTACCTATTATATTAATATCAGTAATCACTGATCACATATTTACATATTGTTGTACATTTTTGTCTGTCTACAGCTAATGTATTGGTATTACCTAATTAGGTAAGACACTTATAAGTGTCTGATTCTATTAGATAGACAATATTATATTATATTGTATTGTTTTTTTTTCATTTATAGAAAATGCCTAAGTATGTTTATAAACCAACTAATAGCTTATCAAATCGCTCCAAACGTCAACGAGAAAAGCTTACTGCAATAAATACACTGCCCATAAACTATATTAATCCGTCTTCTGTTTCGTCAAAACCACCTCAATTAGATGTGTTAGTTACGGAGTCGTTAACATGTTTGAACCACCATTCTTATTATACGACACCATCAGTACTTCCAAATTTCAATGTTATTGAAAATGTTAGTTATAAACAACCTGAGATTAATGAAAGAAATGTTGTGTCTGATCTCAATACTTTTGAATCTAAACTAGCAACATTAGTTGTTACTTCAAGAATTCCTAGAAATTGTGTCACACAATTACTAAAACTTCTAAAATCAATTGATAGTTTAGAAACTATAAAATCATTGCCAACTGATTCTAGGACATTATTAGTTCAGAATTTCTAGAGAACACCAATTGTAAGAAAAGTAATAATTCTTTAATATGCAATTATTATTAACTGCTATTATGACTTATGTTGCAGCAATAAATCAACACTCTCAGGTCCAACAGCCTAATAAAAATTGTTCCAGATTTCTTGAGAACTCCAATTGTAAGAAATGTAATAATTGCTAATGTGTAAGTGTCATTAACATATATTATTACTTATGTTGCAGCAATAAATCAACAGTCTCAGGTCCAATTGACACAGATTCAAAAGCCTAGTAAAAATAGTTCAGAATTTCTAGAGAACACCAATTGTAAGAAAAGTAATAATTCTTTAATATGCAATTATTATTAACTTCTATTATTACTTATGTTACAGCAATAAATCAACAGTCTCAGGACCAACTGACACAGATTCAAAAGCCTAGTAAAAATAGTTCAGAATTTCTAGAGAACACCAATTGTAAGAAAAGTAATATTAAAGCAATTATTATTAACTTCTATAATGACTTATATTGCAGCAACTGATCTACAATCCCAAGACCAATTACAATATTCAGATCATAATAATACACAATATTATACAATACATGATATGGTGAATATGATGCAACAGATGAGTCATAAAATTATGAGTGGTAAGGACAAATTTATTCAAATATTCACTTGTGATCTTATTATTTTTATCTAAATAGGTGTTTATTTTAATTTTAAGTGTACAATCAGATGACATTTAATCAAAAAGAGTTGAGCATTATTAAACTAGATGTAATAAAAAATCAAGAACTCTTAACTGAAGTCATTGATAGATCACGCCTTCAAGTAATAGATAACTCATTTGATCGATCTAAAATTGATATACCACTATTGAATATGGACCAACTTAACGCTCTCGAAGAAAACGATGAACAAAAACAAGTTTTAGTAAGTTATTTTTTAAGTTATAATTTGTTTAAACTGTTTTGATTAATTTGTATTATTATGATTAGGCTCATATCATACGCAGACATGGAAAGTCTTTTGATGCTAAACGGACAACATATCAAATAATGAAAATGGTGATCGATAATCGTTTAGCTGAAGGGTTGAATATGGGAGGAAAAAGAGGGGAAAAACGGGCATTTGGGCGACTAGCTATCTGCACTTTAATAATTGGTAATAACTAATAAATAATAATTTTATCTGTATATTATCAATTTTCTCAAATTATTGTATGACATAAGGTACCTTATATGTACCTATAAATGAGTTGTATTGAGTTTATGAGAAGCAAATTATCAGAAGTAAATTGTCAGTGCACTATAGTTTAAACATGTTTGTTTTCTTTCTCTGATCCACAAGCAACATATTAAATTTATACTTAGCAAAACTTACCCAGTGTTGTTTCTTTTAGTATGTGTGAATTCACCTATTATCAAACTTTTAGTTTACATTTTAGAATATTATCTGTGTTGCTACATCCTCCATTTTATAATATTTTTATTTATAGTAATGTTACATTTTTTTTTTTGTTTTTTTTGCAGATGCTATTAAAGATTTTTTCCCAAATGAGTCCATTTTGGTCATAAAAACTTACATGAGTGATTGGCTAAAGCAAGCGCCAAAAAGAAAATGATTTATAATATTATGATGATTATTTCTGAATATACTCAATATACAAAAATATATTATTAGTTTTTAGAATTTTTACATCTTTTATGACCTATAAGCTTACAAGTTTCAAATAACCTTTTTTTTTTTTTTTAACGTGGTATCGAGGACTGGAGGAGGAACTAAGGTGCCAGTACTTCTCCTAATAAGGTGCCAGTACTTCTCCTACTAAGGTGCCAGTACTTCTCCTAAGTGCCAGTACTTCTCCTAAAAGGTGCCAGTACTTCTCCTAAAGTTTCAAATAACCTACCAAATTTGTAAATTAAGTATAGGTACTTACAATAATGATATGTTTAATTACTCACGGATCCACAGTTTGTCTACAGTACTATACTTAAATCTAACTATTTAGATACTTTTGTACACATAACGTTTATACAAAGTTTTTACGTAAAAATCTTATATACATACCTTGCGTTTACACGTAAATATTTAAACGATATTTATACGTAGAATATACCTTGCATTTATACGTAGATTTATCTACGATAATTATATGTAGATTTATCAACGCTATTTATACGTATATTTATCTACGATATCTATACATAGATTTATCTACGCTATTTATACGTAGATTTATCTACGGTATTTATACGTAGACAGCTAAACGGAATTTCAACGGATAATAAATGAGAGGGATACCTACACGTATTTTATACGACGAATAAACGTAGGAAATTACGAATATTATACGTGGAATAACCGTTAAATATCTCTCTTTTGACCCAAAATTATCCTTCAATTACACTAATAATCAACCAAATATCATCGTGTATTCTACGTAGTTGTGGTATACCGTATACGTAGATTATACGTTTAATACATGTATATTTGTTTGCTGGGATGTTGCGGTTGTCTTTACCGATGCGGTTCGGAAAATACCCCAAAACACTTTATTTAATATTGAGCCGACCACATGTAGATTATCGGTTGCGGTTTTAAATTTAAATTATAATATTTTATAGTTTATAAAACATTGATAGTTTTTAATTGTATTAACATACCTAAATTAACATGTATTCTATGGAGAAATTAATTTCGGAAGTCCAGAACTATCCTTGTTTATGGGACATGAGTTCTAAAAAATACAGCGATAAGGACTTAAAAAAATCATGTTGGATGAAAGTACTGAGGTAGTTTATTCAACAAATTGGAATAATTTTTCATCAACTGAAAAAGAAGAAAAAGGCAAGACCTATTATGTATTAACGTAAAATTATATTTACAAAACTATATAGCTATGTATGTAATATTTTTTTATAACTAAGTATATTTAGAATACCTGCATAGTACATCATACAAAATAATTAGGTACCTAATTTTCGTACATTTTATTTTTACATTTTATTTGCCACAATTGTTTTATTATATAATAATAATAATATTATATTGATTATACATTTATAACGATACAATATGGCTAACTTAAAATAGAATATTTAGAAAATAATTTTACTTTGATAATATACTTCATGGTTACTTTGTACTTATCCTGAAAACTAATATCTAATGCGATTTGATTTCAAAAACATTTTAATCAAGAATAATAATAAATATAACATTTTAATTTGAACATAATGTTACATATTGCCATATTGGTAACTAAAGTGTTGTTCTATATTGAAATGGAACAGCCCCTTGATTAATAAAATAATTCGCAAAATTGTCTCTAATTCCATTCCATTTCAATTTATATGTCTGCCATGTTCTTGAAAATCGCCAAAGTTATTTATATAAGCCGTATCTGCAATATCTTCATCATAATTACTTCTGTCTCTTTTTCTAACAAAGTATGCAAAACACAACATGCTTTTATGATGTGATCACAAAAATCGGGTTCGACTAGAATAGTTGTGTGTAATACATTCCACTTATTAGCTAATACACCAAAAGCACACTCGACAGTTCGTCTTGCTCTCGATAGCCTATAATTAAATATTCTACGAGTATTATTCAGCCCACGTCCTGGATATGGTCGTAATAAGTTAGTGTGTAGTCCAAATACCTCACCGGCAACAAATACAAATGGTTGTAAATTATTTTCCGTCAATGGCAACGATACCGAATCAAAAATTTGTAGTTGGTTTGTATACAACTTTTTCCCAAATACACTTTGTCGAAAAACGTTAGAATCAGCTTCTTGCCCGTACGCTCCGACATCGACAAAAAATGAAATTTAAATTCGCATCTACCACCGCCATGAGTACGATTGCAAAATACTTTTTATAATTATAAAAAAGAGACCCAGAATTGTTTGGGTTTCTGCATCTTATGTGTTTTCCATCAATGAATCCGAGACAATTTGGAAAAATTGGTTTTTTTATAAAAAAGTTCAGAAATCTCAATCCATTTTTCTCGGTTTGGTTCCGGCATTTCCGTGGGTTGTTACACTGACCATACAATTTGACACGTTTCACGGACAATTTGGTTAATAGTACTCTTGCCAAAACGAAAATCTAAATGTAGTGCAGAAAAATGAATCCCCTTTGACAAATATGTGCTCAAACATACATATAGTAATACATATTAACATTATTATATATTATCATTACCGAAAAAAAATGTATTCAATTACTTTTTTTTGGAAAAATAACCAATTTGTAAATCTAACTTAGACAAATTTTGATAATAAAAACCTTTATTTTAGTCAAGTAGTTTATTTTTTACAACTGTTTAAAGTATCAATATTTTATTGGAGTAAACTAATTTGAAACTTAATAACTTTTTCAAAACATTATTTTTGGGAATTTCCTGTAATAGATAGAAAGTAGTATATTTTTAAAGTATATTTTCCTATATTATTTGTCATAATTTTAACTAGGGTCAACTTTTTTTGAAAAGCCCTGTTAAATCCTGCTTATAAAATTTGTCGACTACCTATGTATTTTTTTTTTTTTTTGTTCATAACAATAAAACCCGTAAAAAGGGTATTTTATAGACATAGTATACTCCGCACAATTTATTACTATTAGACAATTTCAATGTATGAGCTTAATTTCGATGAAATCAAACATAAACTAGTCTAATATTTGCAATATCATATTATTTTAAATTAAAATATTCCCCACGCTTTTTGAATCGGCAACCGATAAAACGCGTAGTGTGGTCGGTCTTCCCAATTGCGGTTAATCGGGATACATTTTATCGGCAACCGACAAAACGCATAGTGTGATCCGGCACTTAAACACTAAATATTAAAATAATATCTATACCGAAATATAACACTATAACAGTACAGCACTATAAATAACACTATATTATAGTAACAGTATAAGCATTTTTCTAATAACAGTATTATACAGCAACAGTATCAATCATGATCAATATTCAATAATAGTAACTGTTATTTTCACTGTTATTTTTTGAGTAACAATAACAGTTTGTAAGTTGCAACAGTTACAAAAATTGATAACAATTTTCCGTCACTAGCCTCCGTGTAGTGCTGGTCGTGCGGTCGTAGAAAACGCAGTAGTGACTTCTACAATCCGGTTCGCCGAACGGCCGGCCGACGGTTCCTAGCGCGGGTGTCGCGCGCCACCGTTGTCCGTCGTCGATTGGCGGTTTGTTTGAAAAGCACAGCGCGGATTTCCGCGTAAAGGTTGTTTGAATTCAAACTGCCATCACGCGGGACCCCGTCAGTGTTATGTGTAAAATATATACGCATTAAATGTAAAATTAAATTAAAAATACAATCATGGAATAATATCATACATTGTAATGGGTAATTAAGTATTGGTAATAATATTTAGACATTTAGTATAAGGATATAGGGTTAGGAATTAGGTGGGCACTGCAAACATTCACAATAAAATACTGAAAATATGAAATGTACTTATGACCGACCTATGTAATGCAATTATTAACGAATATGTTATATAAGTACCTAAATCTATTGATTCTGGTCTATATGGCTGCCATGGTTGGGGTTAAGTAGCTATAGCCTATACTATAGGTATTTTAAATTTTAATATTGATATAAGATAGGGAACAAGCAACACAATGTGTATATACTTTCATATTTTCATTCCAAACATTTTATTTGTAAACATAGCTAGAAATAAAACTATACATTTCTTACATTTACAAAATCGATGTAGTCCTACTTAATAGAAGAATTTATCTGAGAAAAGATGTTTTTAACAATTGGAAGTAGGTAAGTAAATACCTACCTATTTCCTATTTTCATCCTGTAGCTTTAAGCGTAGACCTCTTTTTGGTTTTTGTAATTTCTAATGTAGAAAATACTGATTCACAAGTCGTCGCTTATACACCACGTATCACGGTTTTTGTAGGTTTCTAGGAGCAGCAAATAACGTGATTTAAGTGATTTATACTTACTAATTTCAGTACTGGTAATGTTTAATTAATATATTTTGCACTTATAATGTATTTTAAATACATAAATATTACATTTAAAGTAAAATAATGGTTTTAAATGAGATACGTGTAGTTATAAAATAATAATTTTGAGATAGGTTGTTTTAATGATTTTCCATGTATGGTTTTTAAAATG